CACGCCGGCCGTCGCGCTCGCGCCGGCGCCGGCCGCGCCGCCGGCGGCCGCGGTCCCGCCGTCGCCGGCCGCGCCGCCGGCGGCCGCGGTCCCGCCGGCCGCGCCGCCGGCCGCCGCGCTCCCGCCGCCGGCGCCGCCCGCGCGCGGCGCGGTCCTGCGGCGCTGGGGCCGCGTCGCGCGGCCCCGGGGCGACGGCGCGCGGCGCGTGACGGCCGACGGCCGGCCCGTCTGCTACGGCGCGGACGACGTCTGGGGCCTCCAGCAGACCGTCGCGCGCGAGGCGCGCCCCGACTTCGACGCGGCGTTCGCCCGCGACCTCGCCGCGCTCCGCGCGGCCGCGCGGATCACGAGCGAGGGCGTCGCGCACGGCTGGGGCATGGTCGCGCGGCGCACGCTCGAGCCCGGCGACGTGCTGGCGGACCCGACGTCCGTGTTCCGCGCCGACGACCCGCCCGTGTCCCAGATGCTCGGCGCGCTCAGCGAGTCCTACGTGAAGCTGCCGCGCGGCGGCGGCTACTTCAAGATCCACAAGTTCGTCGACGACGCGGCGCGGACCGGCGCCGCGGCCTGGACCTTCTACACGAACGAGGCGCGCGCGCCGGACGTGGCGAACGTCGAGTGGCAGCCGACGCGGTCCGGCGGCCGCACGGTCCTCGGCTGGCGCGTGCTCCGGCCCGTCGCGGCGGGCGACGAGCTCCTCGCGACGTACGTCGGCGACGAGTTCTCGCGCGTCGCGCGGCGCCCCGCGGACGCCGCGACGCCGCCGCGGCCCCGGCGGCCCAAGCGGCGCCACGCCGACGACGACGGCGGCGACGACGACGCCGCGTCGGACCGCCCCGCGGCGTCGCGCGTGCCCGTCGCCGAGGTCGCGCGGATCTTCGACTGCGACCCGGCGGCGCTCGCGGCGCTGAACGCGTGCCTCGTCGCGCGCAAGAACTTCTTCGCCCTCGACGCCGACGGCGGCTGGGAGACGTTCCTGCTGCCGGACGACCCGCTCGAGGGGCCCTGCGCGACGTGCGCCGCGCTCGGCGACGCGCGCGGCTGGAGCTGCCGCGTCGCGCGGAGGCACGTGGGCCCCGACGGCCCGCCGCCGCCGCCGCCGCCGCCGCCGCCGCTCCTCGACGTCGCGGCGGCGCCCTGGACGGCGGCGCTCGACCGCGAGGGCCTGGGTCGCGACGCGGCGGCGCTCGACCTCGCCGCGCCGGGCGGCCCGCGCGCGGCGGCGGGCCAGGCGTTCGGGGGCGAGGCGTCGCTGTACCGCGCGCTCGCGACGCTCCGCGACGGCGTGGAGCGCGTCGACGCCGCGCGGCTCTTCCCGGGCCACGACGGCGACGGCGCCGCCGCGGAGGCGGCGCTCCGGCGATGCCTCGAGGGCCGCGTCTTCGCCGCGCGCGACGGCTCGGGCGGGCTGCGGGTCGTCCTTGACGTGAAGATGCGGTCCTACGGCGCCGACGTCGCGACCTTCGAGCCCAGCGACCGGCGCCCGCGGACGGTCCACGCCTTCGGCGACGTCCTCGCGTTCCTCCGCGACTACAGGGAGTCGCACCTCGTCTCGGTCCCGCGCTGGGGGGCGCTGCCGCCGCGCGACACGGCCCTCGAGGCGCGCGCCGCCGGCGCGGCGCCGCGGTCGTGCCTCGTCTCCGCGGCGCCGGGGCCGCTGGCCTGCGTCTACGTCGCGGCGGGCGGCGAGCGCGCGGCCGAGGTCGCCGACTGGACGGCGACGGACGAGGCCGCGCTCCGCCGGGCCGCGGGCGCCGGCGCCTTCGACGCGGGCGGCCTGCTCAAGGCGGGCGTCGTCTACCGCGTCGCGCGCGCGCCCGCGCTGCGGCCCTTCCTGCCGCCGCCGGCGTTCCTCGACGACGCGAGCGCCGCGCAGCTCGCGCCGGGCTACGCGCGCGCGGACCCGGCGCACGCCGCCGCGGCCTGGTACATGACCGTGAACAACGACACGCTGCTCACCGTCGCCGCGCGCTTCGGGGGGCGGACGTCCGCCGCGGAGATCTACGCCGCGAACCGCCACCGCCTCGACGGGCTCCAGCACCCGCAGAAGAAGTCGGGCAAGCCGACGAACTTCAAGCCGGAGACGACGCTGCTCGTGCCCCTCGAGGGGCCGCCGGCGGCCGCGCCGCCGAGGCCCTACGACTGCGCCGCGTGCCGCGGCCGCAACGTGAAGCACGCGTGCGCGGGCGTCTTCGTGGGCGACCCGGCGCGGTGGCCGGCGCCGCGGAAGCCCTGCGCCGCGTGCCGCCTCGAGGGCCGCCTCGGCCCGCGGGCCTGCGCGCTCGCGGGCCACGGCGACGCGCCGGCCTACGACTCGCAGCCCGACGTCGGCGACGGGCTCCGCGTGTTCCGCGGCGGCCGCTGGGCGCGCGCCGAGGTCGCGAGCGTCGGCGCGTCGTCCGTCGTCGCGCGCTTTTCGGACGGCGCCACGTCGGCCCTCCCCTGGCCCGCCGAGGGCTGCGTCCGCGTGCCGCGCGAGCCGGACGACGAGCCGCCGCCCGCGGACGACGACGCGTCCGACGAGAACGAGTGGCGCGACGCCGACGCGCCGCCGCCGCCGCCCGACGACGCGTCGGAGGAGAACGTCGAGTGGCGGGGGTGGCGCGACGACGGCCACGCGCTGCTCGGCCGCGCGGTCGAGCGCGCGGTCCCGGAGGCGGGCGGCGGCGCGGCCTTCGGCCGCGTCGTCGCGTGGCTGCCGCCGGACGTCGCGAACCCCTTCGTCGACGCCGACGACCGGCCCGTGCCAATGTTCAAGGTGCGCTTCCACCGCGGCGTCCTCGCCGGCGAGGAGGAGGACCTCGAGGAGGCCGAGGTCGTCTCGTCGCTCGCCCCGGTCCGCGACGACGCGGCCGGCGCCGACGACGACGGCAGCGTCGCCGGCGTCGACGGCAGCGCCGGCGACGACGACGGCGGCGCCGGCGACGACGACGGCGGCGCCGGCGACGACGACGGCGGCGCCGGCGACGACGACGGCGGCGCCGGCGAGCCCGAGGACCGGCGCATCCGCGTCGGCGCGACGGTCGCGAAGAAGTTCGCGGGCTACGGCAGCGAGCCGTGGCGCGGCCGCATCGCGGACGTCGACGTCGCGGCGCGGAGGTGCGTCGTCGAGTGGTCCGACGAGAGCGAGACGCGCGAGAGCTTCAAGGAGCTCACGCGCTGCTTCGACCGCGCCGAGGGCAAGCCCGCGGCGGCCAAGGCGCCGAAGGCCAAGGCCACCGCGCCCGCGCCGAAGCGCGCCGCGCCGCCGCCGCCGCCGCCCTGCGACGAGTGCCGGTTTTGCCTCGACAAGCCGCGGAACGGCGGGCCGGGCCGCATGAACCAGGCGTGCGTCGTCGTCGCCAAGTACCGCGAAGACCACGGCCTCAAGAAGACCAAGAAGTCGCGGAAGCCGGGGTCGTACTAAGGACTGTTGTTGTTGTGCTTGTTTACTACTCGCCGTGATGCGTCTCTACACGTAGGGGGGGCGGGACTCCGGGAGGACCGCGAGGCATGAATTGCCTTTGGCGACTCACACAACTCTCTCAGGCGATTTTTTTGCCAAGTGCCGCTTCCCCTGCAGGCCCGGCGCCAAGGCCGCGGCGCGACGTTTGAGCTCAACGTCCTGCGGCGGCGGCACGTAACCTACTCCCGATCGCCTCGCGGCGACGGCGCGGTGTGCTCACCAACAAAACATGTGGCCATGCCTCCTCCTCATCGTCGCCGTCGGCGCCGACGGCTCTGAAGGCAAAAAGGCCGCCGTCGCCGACGCCATGCGCCGCGCGGTCGCCGCCGCCGGGTCGACGCATCCGCTCGAGGACCCGCACCGCGCGCTCGGCGACCGCGAGATCCTCGTCGCGACGACGCCGTCGGGTGACGTCTTCGTCGACGCCGGCGGCCGCGGGAGCTGCACGCAAAAGTGCGCGCTGTTCCTCGACCAGTTCCTGTCCATGCTCGCCGCGCGGCGACGGTGCGGCGCGGCGGCGGATCTCCCCGCGGCCGCGTTCTTCTTCCGCGAGCACTCGGCCGGCTGCGGCGCCGACGACGCGCGGTGCGCCGCGTCGCCGACGCTCGTCATCGCCAAGGTCGCGGACGCGGCGCCCGGCATCATGGCGCCGAACCCCTACTTTGGCACCTTTCCCGCGTGGGAGGCGCAGGCCGCGCGCATCCGCGAGGCGGCGGCGCGGCCGGCGGCGGAACGGACGCGCAAGGTCTTCTGGCGCGGGAGCGCGCGGCCGTCCGAGGACGCGAACGCGACGGGCTGCGCGGCGCCGCTCGAGGTCGACGGCCACGCGTCGCCCGGCCTCGAGGTCCGCATGGCGGCGCTCTCGCTCGCGCTGCGCTACCCGGAGACCTTCGACGTCGCCGCGGTCTTCAAGCACGAGAAGACCCGGGCGCTCCACCGGCGCCAGCTCGTGGACTGGCTGCGCTGCGACGCGGCGCGGCGCGGCTTCCCCGGGAGCGAGGGGACGGGCGCCTTCGCGCCCGGCGCGGCGCGGCTCCTCGCCGCGGGCCGCGTCGAGCCGTCGGAGTTTCCCGGCTACGCGGTGCTCGCGTCGCTCCCGGGCGACACGCACGGCTCCTTCTCCCAGCATCTGAATCACCTCTGGGCCGCGGGCTCGGCCGTGCTGCTCTGGCGCTGGGCGGAGTCGCGGGCCCTCTACTCCGAGTGGTACTACGCGGGCCTCGAGCTGTGTGGAAATCAACCACTGGTTTGGGGGCTCCCCACCAAACTTCAGAACTCTCTATCTCAATCAAATCGACGTCGATTCGGCTGATTTTTGGACGAATCGATTGCTCTCGTCGAGTTCTCGAAGCACAGCAGAAAGCCTTGCGTCGAAACGGTCGCATACGCGCACATTGAAGTCGGGTTGAAGATTTGATTTCCACACAGGCCTCGAGGACGGCGCGACGCACGTCGAGGTCCGGAGGGCCGGCGCGGCCGTCCTCGACGTCGCGGACCGGCTCCTGGGCGACGGCGCGCGGCGCGCGCGGCTCGGCGCGGCGGCGGCCGAGGTCCACGACGCGCTGCTCTGCCCCTGCTGCCTCTCCGACTTCTACGCGGACCTGCTCCGGGAGCTCGGGGACGCGCAGCGCGGCTTCGACGTCGCGGCCGGCCTCGACCGGCGCGCGTGGCAGGAGAAGCGGGTCTACGAGACGGACGGCGACCCGAAGCTGCGCGCGGAGCAGCGGCGGCGCGCGGGCGGTACTTAACGTTGACTTTTGGGCCGGCGGCGCGCGTCGGCGACGCGACTCCGGGCGTCGGACGCCCGCGCGCCGAGACGCTGGGGGGGAACTAACGCACCCGACTTACGCCTCGTTGAGGGAGGGGCGGACGAGGAGCCACGCGAGCGGGCCGAAGAGCGGCACGAGCGCGAGGGCCGCGAGCTTCTCGTCCGCGCCGCGGCGCTCGACGTCCTCCCGCACGAGGCCCACGGCCAGCAGGGAGAGGCAGCAGAAGTCGCAGGTCGTCGCGTGGACGAAGAGCTGCGTGTCGAAGAGCTGCTTGAATTCCGCGACGTTCGCGCCGAAGTCGCCGGCCGTCGCGCCCCAGGCCGCGAGGCCCACGGCGCCGGCGCCGAGGACCGCCGCGTTGAGCTTCGACTCGAACCACTTGCCGCCGAGCGACGCCGGCGCGCGGTTCGTCGCGCCGCGGTACTCGCGGAGCGCCAGGTAGGGCGAGATCGCGAACATGCCGAAGGCGACGGACGCCGCCAAGAAGGGCACCTGGGCAGCAAAAGGGTGGTTCAACGTCGCTTCAACGTGAAGTTTCCGCGCGCGCGCGTTACGGAAAAAACATCCACGCTTCGAGACCGTTCCGAGAGATGATCGCTCGTCCAAAAATCAGCCGAAACGAGTGGAAAACGGCCGAGATCGGAGCCTTTAAAGTTGGGAATTTCGCTCTCTTTTGCTGCCCTGAAGGGCACCGCGGGCACGGGCTTCTGGTCGTCGGCGCCGGGCAGCAGGAGCGCCGCGTAGACCGCGGGCCAGACGCCCATCCAGTTGAAGAGCACCGTGAACAGCGCCGGGCACGACGGGTCGAAGGGGTTCGCGACGAGCTTCGCGAGCAGCTCGCTGTCGAGCGCCTGCGCCGCCTCGGACTTGCCCGGCGCGCCGATCGCGATGTAGCCGATGAGGCCGAGCCAGAGCGCGCCGATGCCGAAGACGCGCAGCGGGGTGCGCACGCCCTCGGCGAGGAAGGCGTCGTCGTCTTGCGTGCCCGCGGCGCGGAGCGCGACCGACGATCGCGCCTGCGCCGGCGGCTGCGCCGCGAAGCGCCCGCCGAGCGCGGGCGCGGCCGGCGCGGGCCGCATTGCGTGGAACGGCGCCGCGGGCGCGAGGAGCAGCGCGAAGGCGAGGAGCGACGGCATCGTCGCGCGGGCCGGCACGCGAGGGCGCTGAGTCAGCTGTGGACAATCTGTGGACCTTGAATTCACCTTGAAGCCCCGAACTCGTATCCCGCCCGCGCGCCAGCCGAAGTGGCAGCGCGAGCCAGCCGAGCTCCTATTTGGCCGGGGGCCTCTCGTGTGGTCGCGTGTTCTCGAGTCGATCGGGCGTCAACCCAGCGTCCGTCAAAACCCGGCTGCCGGCCTAGCTAGGGGCCCCCGCGCGACGGTGCGTGCCGCGGTCCCGGGCCACGTCCCTACATGCGTCACCAGTTGTCCTTATGGCCCGCGCGGCCGCGGCGCCGCGCCTGGTACATGGCGCGGACCTCCTCGGAGAACGCGGGCGCGCGCTCGAAGAAGTCGGCGACGACGTCCGGCGACTCCTCCTCGGAGTCGAGGCGCGGGTCCGAGTAGACGTCGGCCGTCGCGGGCTTGATGGGCGGCTTGCCCTCCTTGGCCCGGTGGAAGTTGTTGTCGCGGAGCGAGTAGGAGCAGCCGCAGTACTCCTGCTTGTAGAACGCGTGCTCCGCGTTGATGACGTACTTGCGCTCCGTCATCGCGTCCGTCTTCCAGTCCTGGTACATGTACTCGAGGCCGTCGTACCTCGCCGCCGCCCGCAGGCCCGAGCCGTCGACCTGGGCCTCGTCCTTCCAGCGGCTCGTCGCGTTCGTCGTCGCGATCGCGTCGAAGCCCCACTCGTGCGCGTAGAGCGCCGTGCGCTCCATGCGGACGTCGAAGCACGCCGTGCAGCGGCCGCCGCGCTCGGGCTCGTACTCGAGGCCCCGCGCGCGCCGGTACCACTCGTCGGGGTCGTAGTCGCCGTCGACGAAGGCGATGCCGAGCTTCGCCGCGTAGCGCTCGTTCTCGCGCTTCCGGAGCTCGTACTCGGACCGCGGGTGGATGTTCGGGTTGTAGAAGAAGACGGTCACGTCCGCGTCCAGCGTCTCGACCATCTCCTCGATCATCGCGCCGGAGCAGGGCGCGCAGCACGAGTGGAGCAGGACCCGCTTCTTCCGCGCGGACGCGGCGGACGCCGGGGACGACGCGGACGACGCGGACGACGACGCCGCCTTCGGAGAGGACGCCGCCGCCTTCGGGGAGGACGCCGCCACCTTCTTCGAGGGGCCGCCCGCGCGCGACAGGTAGCAGGCGTCGCCGTAGGAGAGGAAGCGGTAGCCCCCGGCGAGCGCGTGGGCGTAGAGGTCTTTCGCCGGTTCCTCGCCGACGAAGGCCGCGACGAGCGAGAGGAGCGTCGAGTCCGGGTGGTGGAAGTTCGTCACCAGATGGTCCACGGCGCGGAAGCGCCACCTGCCGTCGGGCGTGATGCAGAGCGACGTCGACGCGGAGAAGGTGGTGGCGTCCGTCGCCTCGAGGAGCGACGTCGCCGCGTCGGCGAGCGAGACGTCGCGCGCGTCCCGGCCGCTCCACTGGTCGAGGTGGCCGAGGTCCGCGCCCGCGCGCGAGGCCCCCGTGGACGCCGGCGCGAGCCAGACGAGGCTCTCGAGGGCGCGCGCGGACGTCGTGCCCACGGCGACGACGGGGCGGCCGTCGCGCGCGGCGGCCGCGAGCGCCTCGACGCACGCGCGCGACACCGCGAAGCGCTCCGCGTGCATCGCGTGGTCCTCGACGCGCCCGACGACGGGCCGGAACGTGCCCGCGCCGACGTGGAGCGTCACCGCGTGCGTCTCGAACGCCGCGGCGACCGCCGCGAAGTGGCCGTCCGTGAAGTGGAGGCCCGCCGTCGGCGCGGCGACGCTCCCCGCGTCGGCCGCGTAGGCCGTCTGGTAGGCGTCGTCGTCGCCGTCGTCGTCGGGGCGGTCGAGGTAGGGCGGCACGGGCGTCGTGCCGTGGGCGTCCAGGAGGGACGCGAGGGTCCGCGCGCCGCAGCCGCCGAAGGCGACGTCGGCCTCGACGCCGTCGGCCTCGCCCGCCTCGAGCCACGGCGAGTGGACGGCCGCGACGCGCAGGTGCATGTCGCCGTCGACGGCGAAGGTCTGGCCCGGCGCGACGTCGCTCCGCCGCAGCATGGCGCGCCAGGCCTGGCCCTCGGCGCGCGCGGCGACGAGCGGCGACGGGTCCGCGTCCGCGTCCGCCGGGGCCAGGAGCAGGACCTCGAAGGCCCCGTCGGGCCCGGCGCAGCGGAGCCGCGCGCGCACGACGCGGCTGTCGTTGACGATGACGAGCGCGTCGCGCGGCAGGTGGCTCGTGAGCGCCTCGAAGCGCGAGTCCGTCAGTTCGCCGTCGGCGGCGACGAGCAAGCGCGACGAGCCGCGCGGCGACGCCGGGTACTTGGCGATCGACGACTGAGGCAGGTGGTAGCGGAAGCAGCGGCGCTGCGCTGCCGTGGGTGGTTTTGCTGCCGCCGCAGCGCGTCGCAATAGAGGCCTCATAGCTCGCCTCCGGCAACTCGAGGAGCCGTTCACCTTGAGGCTACCTTGAACTGCGCTCTGGCTTGCGCGCGGCGCGGCCCGGCTCATGAGCCCGGGGGCGCACGCGCGGAGAGGGTGTGGGGAGCTAGTAGAGGATGCTGTGGGGCGCGCCCAAGACGTGCCTCGCGCACATTGCGCGCGACTTGGGTGTCTCGATCGAGGGATCATGATGCCGCGGAAGCGGCGCGATGTGCCGCATCGGAGCGTGACCGCGAGTCACCCGCGTCGCGCAGAGCTCCCGCGCGGAGCCCGCGCCCCTCTTCCGCGATTTCTCGGGCGAGATTCGCCGCCCCCGCCGCCGTCATTTCGTCGGGCTGGGAGACTGGGGTGCAGTAGAAAGCGCCGCAGCGCGGCGGGGAGCCCTGGGGTGCTTCGAGCTTGGCGCGGAGAAGTTGCCACAATGACGCCCAAAGCCAAGCAAAGCGTGCTGCCGGGCTTCGTCGACGGTTCGCCCGAGCACCGCCGCCATGGACACCGTCCCGAAGCCGAAGCAGTGCCCGGCGTCCGACGAACACGACCGCCGCGCGGCGCGGCCGCGCGCCGGGAGCCAGCCAGGCCGTGGACCGGACGTCAGCAGGTGTGCGCCCACGGACCAAGCTCGGGCGCCCCTCTCAAGGCCGGCGCGCGAGCCTACGACGACCGCCAGGCGTGAGCGGCGTTCGAAGAACGCGCGGCCAGCGACCCCGCCCATCGGCCACCTGGACCCGAGGGCTATCGAGTTCCAGCGATTCCCGCGCCATCCGCTTCGTCCAACTTTCGTGGTGCGCCACGCCTCCTTCCACACGCCCAACGCGCCGCCCGCGCGTCGCCGCCCGTCGCCTCGACCCCCGAGACCGTCTCGACGCGCCGTGGGCGACGGCGGGGCCGCCGGCGGGTCGATTCGAGCCACCGGCTTCGCCGAAGCGCGCGCACGGCGAATGCCGCTCCCGGGGGACGGCCCTTCCACCCCCCCGCCCCCGATGCCTTCGTCCCGCCCGCTACCCACCCCTCAACCCCCAACGCCCCAAAAAAACCCACCGCGAACCCCGCGCAGAAAACAAAAAACGCCCGCCACATCATCATGTCGTCCGGCGAAGTCGAGACCTTCGCGTTCAGCGCCGACATCAACCAGCTGCTGTCGCTGATCATCAACACGTTCTACTCGAACAAGGAGATCTTCCTCCGCGAGCTCATCTCGAACGCGTCGGACGCGCTCGACAAGATCCGCTACCAGTCGCTCACGGACGCGTCGGTCCTCGACGCGGAGCCGAACCTCGAGATCCACCTCATCCCCGACAAGGCGAACAACACGCTCACGATCGTCGACACGGGCATCGGCATGACCAAGGCCGACCTCATCAACAACCTCGGCACGATCGCCAAGTCGGGCACGAAGGCGTTCATGGAGGCGCTCCAGGCGGGCGCGGACATCTCCATGATCGGCCAGTTCGGCGTCGGCTTCTACTCGGCCTACCTCGTCGCCGAGAACGTCGTCGTGACGTCCAAGAACAACGACGACGAGCAGCACACGTGGGTCTCCGCGGCCGGCGGCTCGTTCACGGTCCAGCCCGACGCGCCCGAGGCCAAGCGCCTCGGCCGCGGCACGCGCATCGTCCTCACGATGAAGGAGGACATGGCCGAGTACCTCGAGGAGCGCCGCCTCAAGGACCTCGTCAAGAAGCACTCCGAGTTCGTCGGCTTCCCCATCAAGCTCTACGTCGAGAAGACGCAGGAGAAGGAGGTCACGGACGACGACGACGACGACGACGACGACGAGAAGGACGACGACGACGACGCGCCCAAGGTCGAGGACGTCGACGAGGCGGAGACGACCAAGGAGAAGAAGACGAAGAAGATCAAGGAGGTGACGCACGAGTGGGACCACCTCAACGGCCAGAAGCCCATCTGGATGCGCAAGCCCGACGAGGTGACCCAGGAGGAGTACGCCGCGTTCTACAAGTCGCTCACGAACGACTGGGAGGACCACGCGGCCGTCAAGCACTTCTCCGTCGAGGGCCAGCTCGAGTTCCGCTCCGTGCTCTTCCTCCCGCGCCGCGCGCCCTTCGACATGTTCGAGGGCGGCTCGAAGAAGAAGTTCAACAACATCAAGCTCTACGTGCGCCGCGTCTTCATCATGGACAACTGCGAGGACCTCATGCCCGAGTTCCTCACCTTCGTCAAGGGCATCGTCGACTCCGAGGACCTGCCGCTCAACATCTCGCGCGAGACGCTCCAGCAGAACAAGATCCTCAAGGTCATCAAGAAGAACCTCGTGAAGAAGTCCATCGAATTGTTCAACGAGGTCGCGGAGGACGAGGACAAGTACAAGAAGTTCTACGAGGCGTTCAACAAGAACCTCAAGCTCGGCGTCCACGAGGACTCGACGAACCGCGCGAAGATCGCCAAGCTCCTGCGCTACCACACGACCAAGTCCGGCGAGGAGATGACGTCGCTCGACGACTACATCGCGCGCATGTCCGACAACCAGCCGGGCATGTACTACGTCACGGGCGAGTCCAAGCGCGCCGTCGAGACGTCGCCGTTCCTCGAGAAGCTCAAGAAGAAGGGCTACGAGGTCATCTTCATGGTCGACCCCATGGACGAGTACTGCGTCCAGCAGCTCAAGGAGTACGAGGGCAAGAAGCTCATCTCCGCGACCAAGGAGGGCCTCAAGATGGAGGAGACCGAGGAGGAGAAGAAGGAGCTCGAGGAGGCCAAGGCGGCGACCGAGGGTCTCTGCAAGCTCATGAAGGAGGTCCTCGACGACAAGGTCGACAAGGTTGTCGTCTCGACGCGCCTCGCGGACTCGCCCTGCGTGCTCGTCACCGGCGAATACGGCTGGTCCGCGAACATGGAGCGCATCATGAAAGCGCAGACGCTCCGCGATTCGTCGTCGTCGGCCTACATGTCGTCCAAGAAAACGATGGAGATCAACCCCCTGAACCCCATCGTGAAGTCGCTCCGCGACAAGGCCGAGGCGGACCAGAGCGACAAGACGGTGAAGGACCTCATCTGGTTGCTCTACGACACGTCGCTGCTCACGTCCGGCTTCTCGCTCGACGAGCCGTCGACGTTCGCGTCGCGCATCCACCGCCTCATCAAGCTCGGCCTCTCCATCGACGACGACGACGACGAGCTCGACGACGACATGGACGACCTCCCGCCCCTCGAGGAGGACGGCCTCGAGGAGTCGACCATGGAGCAGGTCGACTAAGCGACGCCGCGGCCGCCGCCGTGGACGCGGACAACGCGCTCCCACCCGGCCCCCAGCTCTCCCCAGCGCGCAAGCCGCGCGCCGCCCCGGAGGCGCGTCCCAAGACTAACGCAAGTTGTCCTGAAGTTAGGATGCACACGCGTCTTCACGAGTATTAGCTCGTCGTGTGCGAGGGCGAGAGGAGCCGCTTCGCGGAGGACGCGGCCCGCACGAGCCCCGTGCCCGCCGCGCGCGAGCCCGCGTTCCACGAGCTCCAGGTCCCGCCCGAGAGGCGGAAGCGCGGCCGGCGCCAGTCGTCGCGCGGCCAGAGCTCCTTGACGAGGACCGTCGCGGCGGCGCCGGGCGCGACGCGGAAGCGCGACGCGGCGGCGGCGTCCGGGAGCGCGCAACAGTCGTCGCGGCCGAGCGCCTCGGCCGGCGCGCCGTCGTCGCCGACGAGCTCCACGGCGCCGCGGAGCACGACGACCTCCTTCCGCGGCCGCGCCCACGCCACGACGAGATCCGCGCCCGCGCGCCAGCGCTCGACGCGCGTCTCGACGCCGTCGCCGCAGAGGGGCCACGCGAGGCGGTCGCCGTCGACGACCGTGGGCTTGCCGCGTTTGGGGACCATCGTCTCCTCGTCCAGGGGCACGTGGCGGCCGCTCTCCGTCGCGCTCGTCGCCTGCATCAGTCCCCACCAGCACAGGATGACCAACCGCTCGTCGACGGGCGCGCTCATGGCCGCGTGGTGCGTGCCGATGGGGTAGCGGACGAACGCGGGCGCGCGCACGTCGTCGAAGTTCGTGTCGCAGAACGCGCCCGAGAGCACGAGGTACTCCTCGCCGCCGGGGTGGTCGTGGTACGGCAGCTGCGGCGTCCGCGGCGGGTAGGCGACGACGTAGCGGACGCGCGGGTAGTGGACGCGCTCGCTCACCTCGGCGGAGATCCACTTGCGCTCGATGCCCGCGAAGGTGCGGATGTCCGAGCCGAAGTCGTCGCAGGTGTGGATCGTGTTCAGGGCGCACTGGAAGCAGTGCTGCGACGTGACCTGGGCAAGAAAAGGGTGCGAAATTCCCAACTTCAAAGGCTCATCTCTCGGCCATTTTCCACTCGTTTCGGCTGATTTTTGGACGAGCGATCATCTCTCGGAACGGTCTCGAAGCGTGGATGCTTTTCCCAGAACGCGCGCGCGTGGAACACTCACATTGAAGCGACGTTGAATCACCCTTGTCCTGCCCTGGACGTGACCCAGGGCGCGCCGTCGCCCGTGCGCGCGACGTGGACGCGCGTCGGGTCGACGTTCCGCGCGAACGTGTCCGACGCCTCCGCGTTCCGCCACGCGTCGCCGTCGCCGTCGTCGGCGGCTGCGATCTTCCACGAGTTCTGCGAAGAGGCGACGTCTTCCGCCTCGTCGCGCGGGGCCTTCTCGCCTCCTCGGAGCTTCCAGCTTGTCTGCGACTTCAGCACCTCCGAGGCCCGAGCTTTTCGGCCGTCGCGGCGCCAACGCCGCGCCGCGAGCTCCCTCGCGAGGCACGCGCCCATGAACTCGAGTTGACGAATGGAGACGCGCAAAAACGGGCCAGGTTTTGTGATTCTCAAGTCGTGATTCGCCACAACTCGCTCTTTGTAAGACACGATCCCTCCGGGACCCTCCTAGGACGCTTCGCATGATAACACGTCTAGTTTACATCACTAGCCATCCCGTGGGACCCAATAGCTACCATAAAACACACGCGCCTCCGCGCGACCGCCTGCTCAAGAAGAGTCCCCGTCGCCCCCAGGCACCCACTTGGACTCGTGCATCGTTTCCATCTTCCCCTCGACCATCTCTTTCGCGAGGTCGTACGTTTGTTCCGTCGTGAGTTTCTGCATCACTTCGACGAGGTTGCCTCCATGGCTACGAACGTCCTCCGCCCAGCGTCGGCACGTCTCGGCACGCTCAAGCTCGCCATAATCGTCGTGGCAGCAGAGCTGTTCCGCGCGGTGCGCCTTCTCGTACGCGGCCGCGGCCTCCTCGAGCTCGGCGGGCGTCCGGTGCCCGTAGAGCCAGAACTTGTGGCCCGTTTCGAGGACGACATTGAAGGGGTTCAGGAGTCGCTGCTCCGCGAGCCCCGAGAGGACGTGGCCGCGGACGCGCCAAGCCGTCCCGATGAGAGTCGGATCCTCGCGAGCCCCGCCGATCGCAAGCTTGCTCATCACTTTCAAGCGGCCGTCGGACCACCAGCTGGGCAACGTGTCTGCGTCGGCTGAGCAGCTCATAATAAGGACAATGGCGGCAAGAAAACCATCCGTCCACTCGAAACTCCCGACTCGTTCGAGCTCCATGGCCTTGTCGAAGCAAGCTATCGCGAGCTCACTGTGGCCAGATTTCAAATGCACCTGGCCGAGCTTAAAGTGCGCGGCAGACTGCTCAGGTTCGAGGGCGATCATTTTTTTATACAATTTGGCGGCCTTGGCATAATTTCCGCCCGCAGAAAGCTCGCTCGCGCGGCCTCCGAGCTCGAGATATTCGATGGAAACTCCATTTGCGGCGGCCATCTTGGCGCGCTTGGAAGCGCTGAGCGAGCGGACCTGCGCCCAACCTTTGTCTCCGGCACCCTCGAGGTCGTATCCCGATTTGCCCTTCTCGACGCTTTCGTGCCACGTCTTGTGAGAAGGCCAGGCCTTGCGCTGGCACAACTTTGAGCAGTAACGATGAGGCTCCAGGCCCTCGTCGACGCAGCGCGCGCAACGGAGCAGCTTCCGTCCCGAGGCCACCGTGGCACCGCACAGCGAGCAGCATTGGTCGTTCGCCGGCGTGAGCCCCCCACCTTTAAACGCCTCGCATTCAAATATGCGACCGTTGCGCCGATCGCGCCCATACGCAAAGCTCCCATCGAGGCTGAGCTTGACGATGTCCATTTTACACGGCAGGGGGACACGCGCCTCCGCGCCGCATTTGAAAAACGCCACGGCCGTGGTCGACATCGAGCCCCGTTCGTACACGATCACCTCGGGCGTGACCTCATGGGCTTTCAGCACCGCAATTTTGCCGAAGTTGACCGTGTAATCTACCCCGTCGTCGTCGGTGACATCCACGATGCCGGTCTGCTCTCCCCCGAGCAGAGATCGAGCAGAATCGCGCAAGCGCACCGCCTTCTCGATACGTGGCACCGCCATTTTTCTCGCTAACTCGATGTCGTCTTCGATGCCCATCTATCCGACGATCACCCGCGGGGCAAGTCTGTGGAGGGTGTGTGCGCGCGGGCGCAAACTTGGCGCGGCTCGAGACGCTGTGTGCGCGCGACTTTGGCTCGAGCTGCGTCAAAATCGCCGATCGAGCCGTGCGGCACGCCCAGCCGAGGTCGTGCCGCCCCACACAAAACCACTTCCGAATCCACCTTACGGAGCGCTTCACGGGTTGAACTCCTTGGACGTGTACTTGGCGGCCTTCTTGTCGAAGGCCGAGAGGCTGAGGAGCGCGGAGAGGCCCGACGCGCCGGCGCCCGCGGCGAGCGCGAAGACGGCGACCTGGGGGACGAGGGAGAGCTCGGCGACGGTGGCGACGTTGAGGAGGAGGGAGGAGAGGAGGAGGCTCGTCGTCGCCTTGGACTGGGTGCCGAGGCGCGTGAGCGCCATCTCGTTCTCGAGCGAGCGAACGCGGATCTTGAGCTGGCCCGTCTCGATGGCGCGGACCGTGTCCTCGAGGTAGGCGATCTTCTTGGGGGACGTGAGGGCCGTGTTGACGTCCTCGGCGTTGAGGCCCGTGGCCTTGGAGAAGATGGAGAGCGATTTTTTCGTGGAGTCGCCGCCGTACTTGGCGCGGTCGACGAGGCGCTCGACGAAGGGCTGCGCGAACTTGCCGAGGTCGTACTTGTCGTCGAGGCCCTTGCCGATGCCGTCGATGGACGCGACGGCGCGGAAGATGAAGGTGAAGGTCGACGGGAAGCGGAAGACCTGGGCCTCCGTCAACGCCTGGAGCTCCGTGCCGAGCGTCGACTTGATGCCCGGGCCCTCGGACTTCTTGCCGAGCTGCTTGTCCTTGAAGGACCGGATGAAGTAGCGCGCGAGCTGCTCGCAGGACAGGCGGTCCGCGCCCTTGGCGAGGACGCCCATGGTCTCGACGGCGTCGACGAGCTGCTTCGCCTTGACGCCGAGCTGGATGTCGTCGATCATCGGCCCGCCCTCGAAGAGCGCGAAGCAGAACTCCTTGAAGCCGTCCTTGACGTTGGGCTTCAATTCGTCCATCATGCCGAAATCGTAATACACCAAATTGCCCGCCGTGTCCACGCAGAGGTTGCCCGGGTGGGGGTCGCAGTGGAAGTACGCCGTGTCGACGATCTGGTAGAGGAAGCTGTCGGCGATGCGCTTCGCCAGGTCCGCGCGGTCCAGGCCCTCCTTCTCGACGCGGTCGATGTCCGTGAGCTTGAAGCTGTCGATGTACTCCATGGTGAGCACGCGCGGCGTCGAGAACTCGTAGTACATGGTCGGCACGCGGACCTGCGCGCCCTCGGCGCCCGCGAAGTCCGCGCGGAAGCGGTCCGCGTTCCGCGCCTCGTTGAGGTAGTCGATCTCCAGGTAGAGCAGCTTCTCGGACTCGTCGAAGACGTCGATGTAGGACCGGTCCGCGCCGTCGGACTTGGGGTCGAGCTTGTCCAGGAGCTCGCAGAGCTTCCGCAGGTTCTTCAGGTCCGTCGCGAAGAGGTCCTTCAGGCCCGCGCGCTGCACCTTGACGGCGACGCGCTGGCCCGTCTTCTTCAGCGTTCCCAGGTGCACCTGGCCCAGGGACGCCGCGGCGATGGGCTCGTCGCCGAAGGCGCTGAAGACCTCGGAGACGTCGGCGACGCCGAGCTCGCGCGCGACGATCTCCTTGGCCCGCGCGCCGGAGAACGCGGGGACGTCGTCCTGGAGCGACTTGAGCACGTCGATGTACTCGGAGGGGAGCACGTCGGACCGCGTCGACAGCACCTGGCCGAGCTTGACGAAGGTCGGGCCCAGCGTGAGCAGCTTGTCGCGCGCGAACGTCGCGGCCGCCGTCTTCTCCTCGCTCCCCTGCTTCCGCGCCTTGAGCACCTTGAGCGCGCAGCCGCCCAGGGCCTTCCAGACCTCGACGTTCCGCCGGATGCTGCTCGACTTGCCCCGCTTCTCCCAGCCGGCCTCGAGCTTCTCGCCCTCGGCGACGTCGGCGTCGCCGCCCGCGTCCGACACGACGGACCGCCGCATGAGCCGCGCGAGCAGGCCCCGCGTCTCGGCCATCTTCTCCTCGTCGAGGCACTCGGGCTCGGGCTCCTCGACCGCGCACTCCTCGTTGAGCAGGTCGTCCACCGCCGCCTCGATCGCCGGGTCGACGACGAGCCGGTCCGCGGTCTCCTTCGTCGCCGCCGCGACGGCCGTCTCCTCCTTCTCCAGCGTCGTCACGCGCAGCGGTCGCAGGGCCCGCGGCGCGAGGCCGCGCGGCGCGATGTAGCCCTGGGCCACGGCCGCGATGAGCACAATTCGTCGAACCATGCTTGCAGATCGGCGCGGATGACACGTCGATCGGCGGGCAACATGGGCGCTCGTCGAGTGCGCATCCCCTTCAATAACTAGTCCAACATGGTAAACACTAGCCGGTTGAAGCAGCTGAGTTCCGCCTGGTGGTTTTAGATTTTGGGGCAGCTTCTCCCCGCTCTCAAAACAGCCCTGTGCCTGTTGCGGCACCATGGGGCGCGGCGGCGACGGCGGCGGGCGCGTGCGGAAGCTGATCCGCGGCACGGCGCACTACGCGGAGAACGCGGGCCACACGCAGGGCCGCTTCGGCTCCGGGACGAACAACCGGTGGCGCGGCGTCTCCGTCTTCAAGAAGCCCGGCGAGTCGGCGTCGCGCAAGTCGCTGGGCAACACGACGATCACGTCGACCTACACCTTCCAGCCCGACTTCGGGCCCTACATGATGTACGAGCCCGAGCGCGAGGTCATGCGCAAGGTCCTCGCGCGGCGCGAGCTCGACAGCGGCTACGCGAAAAGGCGGAAGCAGCGGCTCGTGCGGCGCCAGGAGCGGCGGCGCGAGGAGGAGGACGAGGTGCCCTTCTACACGGCCCACGACCCGACGATCTGCGCGGAGATGGCGCGGCGCATGAATTTACGGTCCGCGCCGAGCGAGTGCAGCCTCGAGCGCATCGCGGGCTGGTCCGACGCGTTCGCGTTCCCGCACAAGGACGCCAAGTCCAACGCCGCGCGGCCGCCCTGCAAGCCGACGAGCCCGCTGAGCCGCCGCCGGCTCTGCGCGGGCATGCCCGTGGACAACGAGGCGCCCCCGGGCTTCGTCGACCGCAAGTACGTGATCCAGCAGCCGCCGACGCCGCCCAAGCCCAAGGACGCGCTCTACTTCAAGACTAGGCGCGAGCAGCGCAAGCCGCCGGCCCTCGAGAAGCCGCGGAAGCTGCCGAACCTGCGCCAGAAGTCGCGCGTGTCCGCGCGCCAGTCGCCGCGCCTCGTCCGCGACAAGCACCGCCCCCCGTCGCGCGACTACGTCCGCGAGCACGTCGACCACCGCTTCGACGCCAAGCTGAGCTACGCGCGCACCCACGTCAAGGACCACGCGTCGCCCCGGCTCCTCCACGGCGACCACGGCCACGACGTGCCCGACTTCGTCGCGGAGAACGCGCGCGGCCGCCTCGCGCCGGACCTCGACCAGGACGCGCGCGTCGACGACCACGCGGCGCCGGGCGTCCTGCACCACCACCGCGCGAGCCCGCCGGCGGGGGCGAACCCTCGCGGCGCCGCGCCTTCCTACGACCGCGCGCGCGCCGTCGTCGACGACCGCGGCGGCAAGATCGTCCACCACGCGCCCCGCGACTTCGTCGGCGAGAAGGTCGACGCGGCGACGGACCCGAACCTCCTCGACGCGCGCGCCAAGGTCGAGGACCGCGTCGACCGCGCCATGGTCCACCTCTGCTACCCGACGGACCACGACTACGTCCACGAGAACGCGCACCCGACGGTCGTCAGCGACCGCCAGGTCGAGGTCACCAAGATGCAGGAGAAGGTCTCCCACATCTCGGGCAAGCTCGACGAGAAGAAGAAGCTCTTCGGCGTCGAGCCCGCGGCGCCGCGCCCGCCGCCGCCGAAGACGCGGGGCTACCGCTGAAGCGGCGCCGCCCCGGAAGCACCGGGCGCCGGCCCGTAAGGACCCCGCCCACGGACCCGGCGTGGGGGCGCGCCGCTCGGCGCGACGAAGATGCGCCGAGCCGGTGTCGGGACGTCCGGGTCGCGGTGCCGATGTTGATCCTCAGCTTCAAGTTGAAACCCCACTTGTATCATTTTCCCACGCGCTAATGGGACTGCGGGCGTAGGTCCGGAGAGCGAACGCCACCATGCCGCGCAAGCGGGAGCGGCTGCTCGTGCGGCCCGTCGAGGAGCTGCGGGAGATCGTGCTCGTGCTCCACGAGGCCTTCGCCGACGTCTGCGCCAGCGAGGGCGTGCGGTCGACGATGCGCGGCAATTGGCAGCGGCTCTTCGAGTCCATGGACGAGGACGAGAGCGGGCGCCTGAGCTTCAAGGAGTTCCAGGTCGCGGCGCGGCTGCTCGTGCGCGACGAGCTCGACTTCGACGCGCTGAGCGCGCTCTGGGCCTACATCGACGACGACGGGTCCGGCGAGCTGACGATCAAGGAGTTCCAGCAGGCGACGTACCTGCTCATCCTCGACGGCTGGGAGGACTTGCTCGCGGAGGAGGCCGCGGACGAGCTCAAGGGCGTCGTCGCGCAGCTCAACGAGGCCGTCGAGACGCGGCACACGCGGAAGAAGTTCCACGACACGACCGGCGGGACCGTCAAGGAGGCCCGGGGCAACTGGTACAAGGTCTTCACGCTCATCGACGTCGACGGCAGCGGCAAGCTCGGCTACGAGGAGCTCGAGGAAGTGATCCGCGCCGACTACCCGGGCCTGGGCATGAAGCCCGCGGCGATCTCGACGAGTCGCGTCCGGGGCTTGTGGAAGGCCATCGACGCGGACCGCTCCGGCGACGTCACCGTCGACGAGTTCATGTCCTTCATGCGCCGCCACGGGCCCCGCATGACGCGGCTCACGGCCTACTCGCAGCAGGCGCGGGGGCTCACGCCCGACGGCGGCGCGCCGCCGATGACGTCCGCGGCGGGCGCGGCGGCCGCGCGCGCGCGGCGGCCGCCGCGCGTGCTCGGCGGCCTCGAATCCTGGGCGACGGACAGCTGGTGCCCGACGCTGCGGGCGCCGACGCCCCACAGCCTCAGCGGGCCCGCCGCGCCCTGGGTGCTGCCGCGCGTCGGCGCGGCGTGCAGCGCCGACGTGCCCGACCTCGAGCTCGACGCGACGTCGCTGCCGCTCCACCTCTCCTGGATCGGCAAGAGCGCCATGCTCAACTCGCTCCCCTCGCCGCGGTCCACGCTCCGCACGGCCAAGTCCGACGCGCTCGCGGAGTGCAACTCCATCGCGCTCGGCTCCGTCCAGGCGCTCCAGCGGAGCCGCGTGCCCAACTGGCCCGCGTCCGACGAGCCCCCGCTCCGCATCGGCCGCAAGGTCTACGACCTCGACACGCGGCCCGTCCACGTCAGCCTCGAGCTCGTCCACTCGCCCCTGACCCGGGGCCGGCCCCAGTCGCGCGGCGTCGGCGCCGTCCGCGACGCGAGCCGGCCCCGGACCGCGCCGAAGCGCGAGCCCACGGGCCGCGAGCTCCTCATGGCCAACCTCGGCTTCGAGCTCGCCGCCGACGAGGACGCGTGAGTCGCTAAGTCTTGTTAGGCCTCGCGCGACGGGCGCCGGCGCCGGCGCGGCTGGGCCGCGGCGGC